CTCACTTCACAGCAACTCTGTGGGTGAGAATGAGGGCCTCTTAACGATAAGGGAATAGGTTCGAAGGGCCTATGCACTTGTTTATTGACAAACAGCTAGTAAAAGTCAGGACAGGGATTCAGCAAACAGAGTGGTTCCCCAAACTACTCTGCTCGTAAAACACCTCCCTTTTTAAAAAGTGCTCCAGCATGCCAGGTTTCCCAAAGCACCCGCCATGAGCATCCCCACTTTTCCTGAAGACAACACCGGAGCTCAGAGATGTCAAGGAAGTTGCCTAGGGGCGCCCAGCACTTGAACCAGTTCCTGCAGCACAGAACCTGTCCTGCCTTCACTGCACTTCAGAGCAAGGGAGCTGCCGGGAGGGGACCCAGAAGCCCTACTCTCAGACCCTTGCCCTCCCCAGGCCCTGGGTTCCTTTGCAAGGAGACAGGGGACCCACGACATGCTGGGCACACAGTCCAGAAAGGACCTGCTCAGCAAACGCAGTTCAAGGAGTTGGCGCTTCGGCTTGTGACTGAAATTGCATGGCCTTGAAACCACACTGCTCTCTCAGGCTCAGAATCTTACTTCCTTTGGAGAAAGGGGAGCCAAGAACCCGAGGAGTAACAACAGCAAACAACAGCACAAATGAGCCAATGTTATTGAACCAGAGAGAGTTCAACGCCCCCGCCCCCCAAAGAAAAATGCAACAACCACAGAGTACAACCTTCCACAATACCGTACTTCTCTGTCTGTGACACATCAACGTCGCCCTCTGCTGCCAGTCGTCAGTATTACCCCATCTCCCGGAGGTGAGAGCTAATCTCCAGCTTCCCCTTGCGGCCCTCTCCCCCCCCCCCCCCCCCGCCCAACCCCCGCCCCCGTGTCTGAGCTATGACACACATCCAGGGGCCACTCTTCACATTACAGTCGTGATTCTCTTTGACTTTAAGGAGCACAGAGAAGGAATTCTCCCTGGCTCTGACCAGGCATCTTCCAAACCCACAGCTGAAAGCTGTCTGAGGTGCAAGGTGCAGAGTTTGGGTTCCCCAAACCACTCTGATGATAAAAAAAAAAAACACCTCCTTGCCCTGGCCTGTTTGGCTCAGTGAATAGAGCGTCAGCCTGCGGACTGAGGGGTCCCAGGTTGGATTCTGGTCAAGGGCATGTACCTTAGTTGCGGGCACATACCCAGTGGGGAGTGTGCAGGAGGCAGCTGATCGATGTTTCTCTCTCATCGATGTTTCTAACTCTCTATCCCTCTCCCTTCTTCTCTGTAAAAAATCAATAAAATATATTTTAAAAAAAAAAAAAAAAACACCTCCCTTGAGTGAGATGCTCCAGCGTGCCAAGTCTTCTAAAGCAGCCACCAGTAGCATTTCCCTTTTTCCTGAAGAAGGCAGTGGAGCTCAGAGATGTCAAGGAAGTTGCTTAAGGGCGCCCAGCACTTGAACCAGTTCCTGCAGCCAGTGTGAGATGAGGGAGGGATCTGAGGTTCCAGAGACTGCCCTGCTCCTCCTCCCCGCCTGACATTCTTTCTGCTCACAGAGTCCCACTGCACATGTGCCCCAGTGTGCCATGGGAAAGCAGGGGCCAGGGGACATTTAAGGAGCTGTCATGAGGAGCAGAGCACCCAGCTCTGTGGCCAAGTCACAGCCTGAGCCCCAAGTGGGAAGTGGGTCCCAAGACCCCTGGTGGGAGGTGAAGCCACTCTGACCCTGAGCAACCCCTGTCCTCCGTCCTCACCTGGGACTGTGACTGCCTGCAGCTGTGCCGCCCTGTACCAAACAGCCACGGTCCCAAAGAACGGGTGGGGCCCGACTGCCTATTAATCCACGTGTCCTCCCTGGGGGGCCTCAGAGCTGCCCGATCTTCACAGCTGATTGACCCTCCATTGGCAGTGGGGCGGACCACTTCCCTCCACACAGCACGCCGTCACAGGGTTAATGACCTGGAATCAGCACCCACTCTGTGGACAGCTCCCCCACTTTACAAAAGGCTCCGCCCCTGAGACTGGGTCATTTCATGAAGCAGGGCAGTCCCATGGGACAAGGACAATAACTGTGTTAAATAAAGGGGTCTGTGCATCTCCCAGGCAGCCTGGGCCTCCAAGAATCGCAGGACACTGTGCAGTGGTTGTAAATTCACTGTGCGATCTACTCTGACAGCCTATGGGCAAGGTTTGGGGCCAGGAGCCTATATGGGGGACAGAAAAATGATTGACTAACAAGCCTTCCCTCAAGTCCACAGGAAGCTCAAACAGGTGCATGAGGAATGAGCAAAACAAGGCAGTTCCCGCTGAGTCACCAGGAGGGAGGAGGGACAGGGTGGCCATGCCTCCCAGGGGCTCCCACCCTCTGAGGAGCTGACTCTCGGCCATGGAGGATGGGCAGACCTTGGAAGGATGAACATCATCCCCGGATGATGAGACAGCAGAGCCAGGGCGTGGAGGTGGGAAAATGCAGAGCGTGCCTGGGCAAGCAGGCATCCTGCAGGGGCGGGGGGGGTCTCGTACCCAGGAAAGCAGTGAGCTAAGGACTGGAAGGGAGGGTGGGCACAGGGCAGAAGGCTCTGATGGTGTGATGCATCTGGAATACTCTGTAGGCAGAGGGGCCCCTGAGGGGCTGGGGGAGATGGGTCGGGACCTGAGCTGCGAGGTAGGACGCTAGTCTGTGGGGTAGAGGGGGTGGGGGTCAGTCGGGAGGTTGCTGCTGAGCAAGGCCCGGGAAGACTCCAAATGAGGACCATGGCCTGGGGAGGCCGGGGAGGCGGGGAGGCAGGGAGGCAGGGAGGCAGGGCACCAGCTGGGTGTCATTGTTACTTTTGGTCAAGAGCTTGTGGCCCGTAAACCGGTGCTAATCCCTCCCCAGCCTTCACTCTGAGCCTTTCCTGGGTCTAGGGGGACCCTCTCTCCTTATCGCTACTTCTCCCAAAACCAAAACTGCCCCCAAGCTGCTACCGCCCTTTCCCAAACCCAGAACCAGCCAGTCAAGGTCGAAACATCAGATGGTGCCCCAGGGTGATTCTGGGGCTCAAAAGAGCTTCTCTGTGGACAGAGCCCTGGTTCTGTGTCCCTGGCAGGCTTTGCCTGCGCCCCACGGGCTGCCCTGCCCTGACCTGCCCAGCTGGACCAGCCAGAGGTCTGAGCCAGGGCACCTCAGTGCCAACCCTGTCCCCAGATGAACAGGGAGGTGGCGGGGCCTCTTGCCTCCCTCAGCTCACTGGGCTTTCCGCAGGGAAAGGGAAAAACTGGAGGATGGTGCCCTGGCTATGGGAGCGGGGACAACTCACCCATCCCCTGCTCCCTCAATTAGATCCTCCCTCACACACGTTCTTGTTCACAGGTGCTCACAGGTACATGACACACATGCACACACGCACATGATGAAATCCACCCCATCAGGCGTCTGCAAGAACAGCCATGTGCTTGGCCAGGTCATCGCTGAGGGAAGAAGACAGGCAGATGCTTGCTGCCCACTGAGAAAGGGTGTGGGTAGAGGGGAAGGAATGGCGTAAATGCCAGAACAAAGGAAGCAAGGCGAGGGCCACAGGCGGGGAAGGAGAAGGAAGAAAAGGTTGGGGCTGGAAGGACACACGAAAGGCTTAGATGAAGAACCAGAGGCCCATCTCTCAGCTGGAGGATCTGTAGGGTGTGCCAGCTACTGCCCCCACACTCAGATACACACACACACACACACACACACACACACACACACACACACACAGCAGTGCGTATCTGACCACAGTGTGATGCTAATGGACAATGAGAGCTGCCTTCTGAACACAGGCCATGCAGGCAGCCCCATAGTTATCAAGCGGATCTTTAATGTACTTTCCAACTCATGTTGCACAAAAATCATTGGGACCCTCGGAAATTCAAATGACTCACTCCCCACAGTTAAAGCTTTGGGAGGATTTGGGAGAAATCATGTTCTGTTCCCGGGACCGGCGTTTCCCTCCCTGTCCCCAGAACGCACAATCTCTGAAGGATGCACACCACCCCTCTGGGGTTCGCTCGCCTGGCAAGCCTCCTCACAGTCCCAGTCCCGTCCACGGGCCCCCCTCACCGGGCCCCCCCTGACACTGGGCCCCCCCTGACACTGGGCCCAATGTCTCTGATGGACAATCCCCGCCTCCTGTTCTTGTTTGCTGTTATCAGCCGGTCCATATCCGCTGAGGCACCAGCCTAATGCCTCAGGTACTAGATCCTGGGGCAGAAGTTCCAGCCTAAATGCCACGGAAATAAATTCTAGGAGGTCCCCTCCACCCTGACCCAAAGCTCCAACAGGAATTTTCCTGATGGACCCAACATCAGAATGAAAAACCAAGGCAGCCTTAAGAGCTCACACACAGGGGCCAGACACTGTCCCAAAGCTTCACCCAGACGGACTCCTTCAAAGCTGAAGAACAACTTTAAGAGGCAGGACTATTAGCATCAGCCCCATTTTCCAGGTAAGCAAACTGAGGCACAGAGAAGTGAAGTAATTTGCCCGAAAGCACACAACTAGTAAGTGGGTTCAAACCCAGGCAGGGTCTGGGCTCTTAACCATCACATGAAACTGCCTCTTCCAAAGGAGCCCAGCGGGGTCCCCGCCAGAGACAACTCCTCTAGGCCTCCGAGGCCCGTGAAGCAGCCTCATCTAGAATCGGGGCTCTCAACGCACCTGCTCTGAAAGCCGCAGGAATGATACAGCCAAGAGCCCCGAAGCACCAACTCCCAGACAGAGAGAGCGTTTGAGGATCTGCAGGAGCCCTCTGTCAGCCACCCTGGTGCATGCTCCCCGGGCAGCTCAAGTGAGGTGGGGACCCTGGGGTTTCCGGCAGCGATGGGGCTGGTGACCCAAAGGGGGACCGCGGAGGAGCAGCCTCTCACCAGGAGGGTTCATACACCCCTCCATGGGCCCACTGCCCTCCCCACCCTGCCCCCCTGCCAGCTCCTGCCCCCCTCCAACCGACTGCACAGCGCGAGGCAGAGACAGACCAGGCCAGCACAGGGAGGCTGCGCCCCGGTTCTGACTTACTTGAAGAAGTCCTCCTTGCAGTAGACGCTCCCGGCCCTGGAGAAGCACCTGTCAGCCAGCTGCATCTGGCAGTCTGCACACTTGAGGCAGGAGCTGTGCCAGTGTCTGTCCAGGACCTTCAGGATGAACTTGTCCAGGATGTGCTGGTTGCAGCCAGCGCACTGGGGGATCTCTGTGGGGAGAGGAGAGAGGCAGCGTGAGCCCTCCGCACAGGACTGCTCACCAGACGGGCCCTGTGTGGACGCCTTCCCATCCGCCCCCCTCCCCCCCCCCCCGTGGTGGGGGAGGACAGAACCCAGCGTCCAGGGCTGCCGCATGCAGCTGTGCAGGCCATACACCGCACAGAGACCTCTGGTCAAGGGGGCTGAAATGCAACCCATGCTTTGCTGGTCCTGCTTTGGGTGTCTTTGGCCCAAAGGCGTCTTCTGTGTTTCTAAGGGCACCACAAGGCTAGCAGCATCGGCTCACCCCATGTATGCCAGCTGCAATTCCACAGCCAGCGGGCCAGGAAGACCCAGCAACCTTCTCCTCCATGTCCATGACACTTTCACTACTGGGTGGAATCTGGGCTAAAAACATCGTCGCCAAAGCGAGACCTGCCCAGGCATGGACCGAGAGACCATCGGGCAGAAAAACCAGATGACTTGTGCAGGGGGTGAGTAGAGATCGAGGCCCAGCTCTGAGGGCATCTGTGGAGGGAGAATCTCAGTGTCTTGAGAGGATCTCCTGGGAGTGTTTTAATGAGCTGCCATGGATACCAGGGACTGACTCCAACAACATCCCTCCTAACGAGTCTTCCTAACCAGAAACTGCGTTTCCAGGTTCCCTTGCAGCTCAGGTTCCACCTGTGATTTAGAGTCTGCCAATCAGATGTACTTAAAAGGGACCTGGCCCTCGCCGGTTTGGCTCAGTGGATAGAGCATCGGCCCATGGACTGAAGGGTCCCGGGTTCAATTCCGTTCAAGGCACAAAGGAGAACAACCGATCGATGTCTCTGTCTCTCTCCCTCCCTTCCGCTCTTTCTAAAATGCAACGGAAAAATATCCTTGGGTGAGGATTAACCCAAAAAAAGGGGGGGGGGGCCTGAATTGAGAACTAAGTTAAATGGAGGCACAGCCTTCGGGCAGGCTGCCCTGGTGCGGGTGTGGAGCATGCAGAGGCTCTGGGGTCGGCGGCTGTGATGTCCTGCTCAGTCATGGCAGAGGCAGGGAAATTCCAGGGGCTGGGAGTTACTCCCGGAAGCCTGGCCCACACATGGCTCCATTGAATTGCAAGCGACCTAATACCAGGTAACTGACCACCTTCCACTTAAATAGTGAAAGTGGGTTCTGTTGTCTGCAACTCAACCCCAACCACTGCCCAACCACTGTTCTTCCCGCCCCTGGTGGCTTTCTATCCAAGGTCTGTTTTCCTTCCGTTTCACCTTTACCAAGGGATTTTGAGTCAATGAAGCAGTTTCAAAATAGACAAGATGGTCAGGCTTCCATGGGTGGATGAGTAAATAGACCCTCCCTCCCCACAACCCCAAAGGGAAGGCAATAAATTAACAACAACAAAAACACATAAAAGTGCAAGCGTTTGGCTGGCATCTCTCACCTCTATTGTAAATAGGACCTTTGCTAATTATTTGTTTACACAGAGTCTTTCCCATTAGAAGGTGGGATTCTCAAGGGGCAGCACCAGCGTTTCTCCTCCTTGTAAACTCGCTGCCTAGCACGGTGCCTGGCACACGGGACGCCACCGCAGATGTTAATCGCAGGATAAACAATTGATCAAATCCTCTCTCAGAAGCTCACCTTGAAACACTTCTCCTCTAGTTTCTCCTGCGCATCCCCAAACGTCAACAAACGTCATAAAACCAAATCTCTCAGGAATCACACGGGTTTCTCAATTCATATCATGTTTGTTGGTTGTGACATAATTTTAAAGTGTTAACATATGGGAATTAGCCTCAATGCACTGGGAGAAAATTGAAAACATCTAAACTATGGAAGGAGAACGCTTTCTCAAGTAGAAAGTCATTTGTATCTAAAACTTATACCCAGGCGGTGGGACAGTCACTAAATTGCCATCACTAGCCCTGTACACACGTGTCAGTCTTGGACCCCATTAAACCCCGACCCCAGCCTGTTCCCTTCAAGGCTTTGGCAGCCACCAACATTTGCCTGAAAGTCAGACCCCTTCGATGCCTTCCTTGCCCGTTGACCCCATTCTCAGACCAAGTACACCATGAAAACTACCAGGAGTCACACTTGGTGAAGTATGTGAAAACTGGACACTTGCTACCGGTCCCAGGTTGTATGGGGATTTTCTTCTGTCTCAAAAGGTTTCCTCTGTGACAAAGAAAGTGTCCAACCAACAATTGCTCACCAAGGAGTTCCGATGTGCCCAGCAAAGTGCTAAGCACATGATGACTACAGGAATCTCCATCGGAGAACAGGGGATAGAGAGCACGCAGGGTAAGACCACGGATTCTGGAGCTGGACCGCCTGCGTTCGAATCCTGGCCCTGCTTTATAGCCTTCAACAAATTACTTTGCCTCCATTTTCTGGCCTGTAAAGCAGTGGGGGCGGGGGGTAGGGTGTGATGATGACGGAGGGGAGTACCTCATAGGATTGTTGTGAAGACTAAACAAATCACGGTGTATACAGCTGGTGCTCAGTAAGGGCTTGCTATCATTAGGAGATAACTGCAGTAATCGGGTGTTAGATGTGGTGCCGCTGGGGCCAAGGGGAAAGGAACGTTAGAAACCACATCCGCTGGCTTGATCTCATTGAATCTTCCCAGGGACCCCTGCTTGGAGGTCATGACCCTCACCTGGAGGCATCACACAGCAGCTCTGCAAGGCTGGGGGGCTGCTCACTCAACCACACCCCTGCCTCTCTCCAGGAATGATCAGGATCCCCAGGGTGGCCAGGGAGGCTGTGGCCTGGCGAGGCCTTGGGAGCGGAGAGATTTGGATACACACAGGTGAGACTATGAGGAGTGACAGGTGCATAACCAGCAGCTTCTGTGGTGCAGCAAGTCCAGGGGGGGGGAGGGGGGGGGACGGACACACGACAGACATCCCAGGCGAAGAGCATCTGAAAGGTTTGGGCCAGAGGGCGGGGTCTCTCCTGCAGCTGCTGGGCCTGGGGCTTGAGGAAGGGAGTGTCAGGGAGATGGCTCTGGCCTCATTTTGCAGGAGAGGGGAGGGAAATTCTAACCAAGAAGCCCTCAGGGCTCAGGGAAGTGGTTTGGGGACAAACGGGTACAGAGCACAGGAACCTGTGAGCACCAGCCCCTGTGCCTGGCAGTCACCCCGGGGCACACTGCCTGCTGCTGGATCTGGGGAGCCAGGGATTGGGCCATCGGAGGCAAATTCACCCTTGGAGAACCAGACAGAGAACCGCCCTCCGGGTGCTGAGCGAGCCCTGGGGGGGGGTGAAGGGGGCGGGCGCCTGCTCCCTCCCCGCACCTCCTGGGTCTGGGGCCAGAGGCCGCCGATTCCCACCTAATTGTTGTTTGGCCTTGCCTGGGAGGAAAGATGCGGCTATATTTCTCCTCCCGGCTGCAAATGCACGGGGATGAGGGCGAGGATGTATGCCCATAAAATTTATTTCGACCAAGGTATCTAGCGGGACCCTTAATATGATGAGTATTCAAGAGAGAATACATTAAGGCTAATGTATGCAGGGAGGGCGGGCCAGGAGTTTTAGAGGCTTGCAAGCCCAGACAACAGCACGTTTAGGAACAACACTAAGAGCAGACCAGCCATTGCAGCCGCCAGCTTACAGAGAGGCATCCCGCCGGGAGGGGCTGGGCTGCCCAAACTTGGGGTTCTCGGAGGGAGGCAGGTCTTGGGACCAAACTGGGGTCCTCGGGGCTTGGCAAAAAAAAATGTAAGGGCCGAAACCGGTTTGGCTCAGTGGATAGAGCGTCGGCCTGCGGACTGAAAGGTCCCAGGTTCGATTCCGGTCAAGGGCGTGTACCTGGGTTGCGGGTACATCCCCAGTAGGAGATGTGCAGGAGGCGGCTGATCGGCTGATCGATGTTTCTAACTCTCAATCTCTCTCCCTTCCTCTCTGTAAAAAATCAATAAAATATATTAAAAAAAAAATGTAAGGGACATACTAAGGGTGCTTTTTTAAATGAAAAAAATAAAACCTTCCCCACTGTAGATTTTAAGAGAATTTTTAAAAAACAAAGATAATGTAGAAATGCTTTAAGAAATCCATAATATACAATAATAATAGTAAAACCAGGCGTCGAGAGCCTGTTATGAGCTGTGCCGGGTCCTGAATGCATATTAATTACCTCAATAATCCACACAACAGGGGAGGAAGGTATCATTATCCCCATTTTACAGGTGAGGAAACGGAGCCTGAGAGAGGGTAAGCCAAGTGCCCAAGGTCCCGCACTGGGGGAGCCAGGATTTGAACCAAGCCTGCGTAGGGCGGGCTAAGCTGACCTGAGAGCTGGAGTCTGCGGCACCACCTCGCCTGCCTGGCTCTACCCCATCATTTTATGGAGAGAAGGAGGCAAAGAGCCTCCACGCTGCTCGCTGCACAGTGATGGGGCAAGTGGGAACACTGAACATCTCCTTAGCAACCACGCTCCCTAACAACTGGGGAAAGGGAAACAGGGAAGTGTTTGAAGCACAGATTTGGGGCCTTCGGACAGAGTATGCAGGTGTGTATGGGACCACCCAGTGCCCTGGGGAGGCCTGGAAAAGGCGCCCCTGTGGGGCGGATCCCCTCCACCCCAGTAGCCAGCTTGTTGAAGGCATCTGTCAAGTTCAGATTCCTCCCTGTGCATGAGGGGGTGCAGCCCTGTGAACTCAGAGCCCACACTTCAGGTGACAGCGCTCCACGTAATTCTTTAGATTGCTGTGAAATGCAAGCTACCTAGAAAAATTTCAAAGGACAACAACACTAGCCTTTACAAAAACTTGCAATAAATTATGATATTTTTTTTTTTTCAGTTCAGAGAGAATGAGCAGGACGGCGGTTATAGAGGTCTCCGATCAAAGTAAAGTTGTAGCCAACATTTCTAAGGAGCAAGAGGCTTCCCCAACCCCCAGGAAAGTCAGCTTATTCCCTGCAGTTTTTACTGTCCCCAAACCCACCGTACAAGCCGGAATAGAAGCAGACCCCAGGAGTCACTAAGACAGAATTTCATCTATAAACGCAGTTCCTGATATAAGGCATCATTTCATTTCAAATGAAAATTTTTATCTTATCTGCACGCAAGTGTGTGGTGATGCTCTTTCCTGGGACTCTGGGGAGGGAAGCTCAGGCATGAAGAGGCAGGACGCCCCTGGAACAGCCAGCAAACCTTCAGAGATGCTGGGCCACACAGTCCAACGCCCTCCCCACTGGCAGGTCCCTCCACCAGCCGCCTGTGTCCTGCAGAGTGACACGGCTGAAGGCACAGACCTAACCTCCCACGGTGAGAGCTGGGTGTGTGCATGCAGACACCCTCCCAGGCACATATTCACACATACAATTCACACACGGGCACGCCGTATGGAGAAACACACACAATCCCAAAGGTTACCCTATACACCAGACACACACACATATATCCACATATACTCA